CGCTGTGGGGGAGGGGCGGGGTCCGGGAACCCAGGCAGACACCATTCCTTCTCTGGACCGGGCCGCGGGTCTCCAAGGTGGCCGGTGACCCTGCCGCCTCTGTAGGCCCCCGCCCTTGGCTCCAGCTGGAGCCCCACTTTCCTCTTTCTCCGTGTGCAGGCTGCTTTTCCCCGCAGCCCAGGCCAGACCCACTTCCCCAGTGGGCTGGGGGAGGGGCGGGGTCCGGGAACCCAGGCAGACACCATTCCTTCTCTGGACCGGGCCGCGGGTCTCCAAGGTGGCCGGTGACCCTGCCGCCTCTGTAGGCCCCCGCCCTTGGCTCCAGCTGGAGCCCCACTTTCCTCTTTCTCCGTGTGCAGGCTGCTTTTCCCCGCAGCCCAGGCCAGACCCACTTCCCCAGTGGGCCAGGCACCCCCTCCGCTGACCCAGGTGTCCCCCTACCTCTGTACATGGCCAGGGTATGTCCCCTTCCCCCGTCCCCACGACCCAAGTTAGGCCGCCGTTTCTCCTTGCCGTGGCCCAGCCTAGGCCCCCTCACCCCCCAGACTCTACTCTTCTGCATCTCCTCAGCCTGGACCCCCGACACTTCCTCCTCCAGTGGTAGCTTAGGTTTGTTTCTTTTCCACCGGGTCAATCTTCTCTTCCCTCTGTGGTCCTGAGTGTGGACCGCTTCCCCGCAGTAGCCGCCGGCTGGGCCTCTGCCCCATTCCCCCCATGAACCGGTCGCCCGGACTTCTCACCACCTTGGCCTAGCTCCACACCTTCTGTCCTTGGCCTGGCCCCTGACCCCTGCCCGTCTGCGATCCAGGTTCCCCCCTCGTCTGTACCTGGGACGCGCCTTCTTAGCATCCTGTGTGAGGTAGGGGAGGCTCCAGTTGGAGTGGGGATGGCCCGGGTGCTGTGCCTCCTAGGGGTCGAGGGCTGCCCTTACTTGGGACCCTGCCTTGGGAGAGGGTGAGAAGGAGAATGGCAGACATCTGTGTGCCCCCGGAAGGCAGCGCAGGGCCCTTCCCGTGGCGCCGCTTTGGTGCCGCTCATAGGAGGTCAGAGCGCATCCTGGGGGCGCCGCGGACTGAGTGGGAGCAAAGGGGTGAGCGTGGGGGAGCCGGACCAGTCAGAAATGAACGCACAATCGCGCTTGTGAGGCCGCAGGCTGGGGGAGGCCCCCAGGCTCAGAGCCCAACCTACAGCCAGGACACGATGCACCCGAGCAGGCACAGCCTCCCCTTTCCCCTGAACTGTCAGCTCGTAAGGGTTGGAACTGCTGATTATGGAGGTGCATCCGATCAGGTGAGAGAAACTCCAGACAGAGCGAGCTCCACTCCATGTTTGTTTTGGTAATGAAGGAGGAGCTTGAATTTCAGGTAGGCCGGCACACATGAGTCTGCCCACCATCCCGTTTGGAACCTTTTGCAGGGCAGACACCTTGGAAGGGCCAGGGACTTCCGCCCCATTTGGTCTAGGGAGCTTCCACGAGTGGTCTGTAGGGCCATCCACCTGCTGCCCCGGCCCCAGTGGGCCCTCCTTTCCAGTACAGGCATATGATTGCCCTAGACTTTGACCCCCAAATGTGTTGGAGGATTCTGGTTCCTTGTTTAAATAATGTTGCTGTTGAATTAAGATGAATTTAGACCGGCTAAGTTTTTCCTTGATGCCTTCCCATATATTGACTGAAAACATGGGAGATGTCATTTTTGTCCTGTTGCTGTTGGCAGAAAACTCACTTTGTGAAGGCTGGGCCTTGCCACCAGCCTGAGTGGAGAAGGACTTCTCCAGGTCAGTTGTAGGAGAAAACTTTAAAAGTGAACTGAAGTTTTCCAAGGTGTTCTCTGGATAAAAGCGGGCAGGAAGGGTGGAGTGGCTCAGTGGGGCTGCTCCAATCAGCATATCAGGTAGGGAGGGGCCCTTCCTCAGACTGAGGGAAAGTGCTGCTAATGACTCAAGAGAGACAGGTCGCTGGAGGCATCTCAGGAATCCTGTACTTGGCTCTCACTTGGACAGTCTGAAAAGACTGGATGGGGTGGAGAAGAGCCTACTGTCTGCAGGACACTGTGCTTCATCGGCCTGAGCGTATTTAACCCACACAAAATCCTCTGGGGTATTTGCTCTCCGCATTTTACAAGTGAAGAAGCTGAGGCTCAGGTAGGGGAGTGGGGAGTAACTTACTCAAGGTATTGCTCAGGCAGTGGAAGGGTACAGCTGCTGCACACAACTGTTCTTCCCATCGTACCAAGCTGCTTATGTGTCTGAAGACGTAATGACACTGCTCAGGAAACATAATAATGGGGTGTTCAGCCATGGGAAGGGAGGAGCAGTACTTCTGGTCTGGTTGTGTGTTGGAATTTTTGCACAGGATATCCTCTTCAGTAGTGCAACCCTATTACTGTGATGCAGGCTCTTTTTTTTTTTTTTTTTTAACTGGAGATCAAACTGAGGACCTTGCGCTTGCAAAGCAGGTGGCAGAACCATTGAGCTAAATCCCCGAACCTATTTAAGCTTTTTTGAGAAGAGGGGTTTTTGTTTTCTCTTTGGCATCTGTTTCCCTGGGGTCTAGACCAGCCCTCAGCATTGAAAAAAATGGCAGGGAGGGCCAGGTGTGGTGGTGCACACCTATAATCCCAGCTACTTGGGAGGCTGAAGCAGGAGGATTTCAAGTTTGAGGACAGCCTAGGCAACATAGCCAGATCCTTATATCTGAGTGATCTCTTGAGATTTGTCTGTGTCCATGAATTAAGCCACTTGGGTTTCATATCTAGTCTTTCAATAATTTTTTCTTAGTGTCCCCTAGGCTCCTAAGTAGTTTCTGACTGTTTATTGTCAGATTTATTCTTTACCTGAATAATCTGATAAACTAGTGTACATAGTTGGGACAAGAGAGGTTGGGGCTGCATTGTAGACAGATTAGACCACCACGGTTTTTATTTTCAGTAGGACTGATGGTAGAGAAACAGCTAGATCTCAGTTTATCATTGAAGGAAATAAGGTTTTGCTTTGACTTTGGAAAAGTGAATTCCGTGATATTTGTTGGCACTAGTTTCACTTTCCCATTTAAGAATGCATAGGTAAATGGCATTTATTTGCATTTCTTTATCAGCTAATAATCTTACCACCCCTAAGTGATTTATGATTTCAAAGCATTTTTTTCCTGACACAGCTCTGGCTTCTAATTTAGGAATGATTATTCTGAGAGTTACAATTCTGGTGCTTGATGGTAGGGCCGAAGCAGGAATAAGCTAGGGAGGCCACCTCAGGAGTGGTCCTTATAGATCACAGGTGGTTTTGCCTAGCAGGAGCTGATAGGAGAAGTCCCTCATTTTACAAGGTAAAGCAGCAGAGTTGATACTAAAGTGTCTTGGCCATCCCCTGGGGTGGATGAAACACAGGTCAACTCAGACCCCATGTAATGACAGTCTTGTTCATTTAAACCCAACTGACCTCTTTTGGGTGAAATACTTGTAAAAATAGCCAATGATTAGTACTTGGACATTGAGGGGTTGATAAGCCTTGCCTTTGAAAGCCGATCTTCCTATTTGTGACTCCGAAAAGTCTGATTACTGTCACACTCCACAGGGGAGAGAAGAGGACAGGTAACCCACTGCACAGGGAGATGGTGTTGGGACGGGTTCCCTGACTATTCAAAATCCTGCTCCCCACTAGGCAAGTACAGAGACTTGACAGCGAGTGTCTGAAGTTACAGGATAGCATGACTTCAGGATGTATGTGCTAAGTGCTTGTTCTGAGCTGCATATGTGCCACAGATACAGAGCTGGACAGACATCGTTAGGGGGTGGACATGTCACTCCATATAACATGAGCTATGGCATGAGGCTGAAGAGAAAGTTGGGGCTTGTGCCAGGCTCCACTCCCAGGCCTTATGGGGTGTGTCTGCTCTGCCATCTGCCTGGGCAGTGGAAGTGCATTGCCAGTGTTCGCAGTCTGTTCCTCCGCACACCTGGAGCACTGGAGCATGCTCCCCTTGGGAACGGAGCCTCGTGGAAGTCCAGCCCTTCACCCTGGGTTCCTGCCATTGACTGAGGAGCTTCTGTGCCCCAGAAACAGGACTTGGGTGATAGGTCAGCCCCTGTTGTACTTAACAAGGTGCCCAAAGCTTGAGAGGTCCAGTGACAGTATGACCAGATACGTATGTTTCTGTTGCCTGTGTGGGACTCACTTGCCCAGAAACAGTAGTGGGACCTCTGAGTGCAGGATCTTGTCCCATTTCTTCTGTATCAAATCCTTCTGGTGAAGGTGACGTGTAGAAACCAGACAGTGCTATTGGGAGATCACCCTTCTTGGGACCAGAGCAGTGCCATTCCCACAAGCTTGGCTTTTACAGATCAGTGTTCCCGTGTAAGGAGGTGGAGACTTAACTGTGTGTGTGTGTGTGTTCCTGAGGATTGAACCTAGGGCCTTGTGCATGGAAGGAAGCCCTCTGCCACTGAGCTACATCCTCAGCCTTTTTTATTTTGACAGTCTAGCTAAGTTTCTTGGGCTGGCCTCATATTTGCAGTCCTGCCTCAGCCTCCCAAGTAACTGGGATTACAGGTGTGTACCCATTGTACCTAGCTGAGACTTAACACTTATGGGTCACTGACCCTGTGATAAAGTCTACTAGAAGCTTTAGCTCAACGAGTTGTCTTTGCAACAACCCAGTGAGCACATTTCCAGCTTAGGCAAGAGACAACATAGTACATTGATGGCAAACCTTTTAGAGACTGAGTGCCCAAACTGCCACCCAGAACTCACATGTTGCAAAGTGCCAACATTGCAATTAAACCCTAATATAGAGGTTTGGTTTAGAAAACACAACTCATACACTTGGCTCACATGTGACAGAGGGCTCTGTGTACCTGCTGTGGCATCTGTACCATAGGTTCACCACCACTGGTATGAGAAGGTAGAAGCATACTACCTGAGAATAATGATGGTACCTCCTCATAAGAAGGGTTAAATGAGATATTATATGAAATAATACTGTCAATCCCTTCAGATATTATCGAGCACATAATTGTATAAACATTAACCATTATCACCACTGTTATATAGATGAGGTACAAAGAGGCACATGTTTAGTCCCTGTGTAGCCAATGGAATCGTATTTCCTGACTCCAGAGCCAGACTCCTGCTCCCCACTTGTTATTGCCTGCTGAAGGCTGCTTTAGAGTGTGCTGTGCTTTGATAGAGATCTTAGCTGATCGAGGCTGAGGCTCTTCATCTGTGAGGGTGGGCTCCCTGTGAGCTGGGCTCCTCTCAGTCTGGCTGCTTTATCTGTGCTGCTGGACCCTGCTTTGAGCAGAGAGTCCTTGTGCCCTTCCAGGTACACGAACTCTGCCAGAGCGTGGGCCTCATGCACTGCACCTTGTGCTGGCCATCTGGCACTCAGTACTTTATAAGCACTAGGTGAAAGAGTGGTGAGAGCTGGGAGGTAGCTTTGCAGTGGGGCACATCTGGCTTGAGTCCTTTTTGCTGCTTGGTGTGTGGCCTGAGGATCCCACCTCCCTTAACCTCAGCCCTTGATCTGCAGGGTGAGGATAACATTTTGTAGGGATCCTAGGAAGAAGAGATGAACTTTTTAATGTACTTAATCTGGTGTCTGGCTCACAGTAAGTGGTAGCTATGGTTATGTGTCTTATTCTGAATACTGCAGGGCAAGGAACACAGGTAGAAGCCATAATTCCAGTGTCTAATGTGGGAGGACAGACAAGATGCATCCAAAACTTTGAAGTGCAACAGGAAGAAGGAAGTAGCACTGGAAAAAACTTTCTTTTTTTCTTTTGGTGCCTGGTATCAAACTCAGGACGTTGCATTTGCGAGGCAGGAGGCAGAACCACTGAGCTAAATCCCTGGTCAAGACCTTTTTTTGTTATCTTGAGACAACTTGCTGTGTGGTCCAGGCTAGCCTTGAACTCACTGTGTAATGTAGGCTGGCCTCGGACTCACAGGAATCCTCCTGTCTTAGCCTTCTGAGTGCTGGGAAACTGAGGCACCACTACGCCTGGCTTGAAAAAGTCTTAGGAAGGACCATGTATATGAAGGTGTGGCTTGTGTTCCGTCTCCTGCAGCAAGCCCTGCACATATTCCAGGCCATGGCCAGCTTGGGAAGACTTTGCCCAGGCAAAGAGGACAGGGTGGGGCAGTCAGAGTGAATCTACTCCACCAGTGCCAAGGTCAGGTTTGTGAGCTTGAGAACCACCGAGGGAGTCGATGAGAGGGAGGTGCTCAACCCTGGGAGTGAGCTGCAGGATGCCTGAGATGCTAAGCTAGAGTGTGCATTTGATCTGGGACGGTGT